AAAAAAAAAAAGATATATATATATTGAATGACAGGTAGAGCATCTCTATCTAAGTGCAAAAGGAGAATCAGAAAGTAAATACTCACAGGCGGAGCTCTAAAAAAGACTTCACCGAGTAGAGAGGGGAGCTGGGGTCCCGCTGCAGGACTTCCACTTGGTTTGTGTTATCCACAAGGTTGCTTCTGATCAGCTTGTTGAGTAAAGACTGGGCAGCTCTGTCCTCTGTTGGGAAAAAAAAGAGCAGACTTTTAAATTTCTTTAAAATCTACCATGTGGTCTTTTTAGCTTTCATTGATACTTTAAGTAATAACATGATAACATGTACTTTAAAAGGCTTTCTTTCTTTTTTTTTAATGGTACCAGGGATTGGACTTGAAAAGTGCCTGAAACATAGCTATGCACCCCCACACCCAGCTAAGATTTTTTTTATAATGCCTGTACAAGAAACTCAGCCAGGGAATATTTCATGCTACTGCTGAAGTTCATCATTGGTTCTATATAAAATTTCTCTAAGATGTAAACCATTAGAATCCCAGGCTGGGGATTTGGCTCAGTGGTTCTGCCTGCCTCACAAGCACAAGGACCCAAGTTCAATCCCCAGTACCAAAAAAAAAAAAACAAAACAAAACACAAAACCCTGTTTGAAAATAAACCATTAGAATCCCTTCATCTATTATTATTATTATTATTATTTCTTTTTTTGGTACCAAGGATGGAACTCAGGACCTTGTGCTTGCAAGGCAGGCTCGGTGCCACTGAGCTAAATCCCTGGCCCCTATTGATTATTTAAACTGAAAATCTAATCCTGAAACCCAGACTAAAGAAGAGCCAAACTGGGTAAAAAAATAAAGCCTATAATAACCCAACTTCTCAGAAGGTAGAACCTTATTTATATAGTTTTAAAGCTATGTTACCTTTCTCTTCTTCATCTGTCTTCTCTTCATTAGCATTGGTCTTGACAACAGTACCTTGATCAGATACAAAGTAGTCATCAGTCAAGATCACATTCCCCACAACCATGGAGACAACTCAAAGTCTAGGACTGTAGAAACATAAAGCCCTGAAGGGCAAAAAAACAAAAAACAAAACAAGACCTGGAGGAAACCAAGCCACTGCTAAAATACAGGGTTTTGTTGTGATTTTTTGAGACAGGGTCTCACTACGTAGTTGAGACTGACCTGGAATTCACTATCCCAGAGTTGATACTGACCTGGAACTCACTCTGTAGCCCAGGCTGGTCTCGAACTCACAGTGATCCTCCTGCCTCAGCCTTTCGAGTGCAGGAATTACAGGCATGCGCCACCCATGCCCCACCCTTGTTGTTATTTTTTGAGACAGGGTCTTGCTATACAGTTCAGGCTGGCCTTAAAGTCGAATGTAGCCCAGGCTGGCCTGGAATTTGTGGCGATCCTCCTGCATCAGCCTCCTGAGCACTGGGATTAAGACATGCACCACCATGTCTGGCTGTCCTTAAATGAAGTTTTAAAATACAGTTGCTTATTTTCAATTCCAGGTCCCCTTTTTCTGTCTCAAAACTAATGATTGTTTCCCTTATAGCATCAATATTTCTGCAATAGTATAGAAACATAATTAAATAGCAATGAAATCACCTTCATGCTTAACACAAGAATATCTATGCAAATCATGTTCTCTTAATATGAACATAATTATGTCATTAAAATCTCTGCCAAAATAAAAAAAAAATAAAATCTGTGCTTTACACTGTTGGTTAACAGAAATACATAGTCACATAATGTAGTCAAACAAATATGTTCAGAAAAAAATTAAGTGAATTGAGAGTAAGGTAAATGTAACATGCCCCATCTGTTTAGATTTTGTGTGTGTGTGTGTTTGTGTGTGTGTGTGCGCACGCGCACATGCCAGGGACTGGACTAAGCGTTTTGCACATGCTAGGCAAGAGCCCCACCACTGGGCCTCTGTCCCCAACCCATTATATTTTGACAGAAGGGTTCAGAATAATCACAACAGGTAAATAATTAGGTTGTTCATACTTTATCTACTTAATCCCAAATTGAAGAATAGTTTTTTAAAAAGCAACAAGTAGGGGCCAGGGATTTAGCTCAGTGTTGCCACTGCCTGCCTCACAAGTGCACAGATCCGAGTTCAATCTCCAATACCAAATAAGTAAATAAAATAAAATAAAAAGCAACAAGTAATCCTTGGCAGCACTCCTATGATGAGTATCAAACTTATAATAATTTATAAGCCTTTTGGTGTTCTCATTCTTATACAGAACATACTTGGTCAAAAATCCACTTCATTGATCCCCAAGTCAAACAAACGTCCTGTCTGCTAGACCTGTCTAGTACATACAATTCCCCCAGGTAACTGTTGTGCTAAAACAGAAATACAGTATGAAAGCAAATCACATCTGATACCAAACTAGCTTTTAGTTACTCACCATTGGCATCTGGTTTGATTTTCTCTTCCTTTAGATGCAAGTTGCTCAACTAAATGGAGAATATGGTAAAGAGAGGGGTAAGTATCAGGAAAATCACGTAAAATATTTTGAATCAACAGAGCCTCCCCAATGAAAGCAGGTAAGAGCAATTCTTAAGATCTACTCATTAGATATATTCACTAGCAATGCTCCTTGCTCCTTCATTAGGTGGTTCTGTTGGATTCCTTTCACTCATTTTTTTTTTTTTTTTT